TACAGTCTTCCCCCCAATACAACGTACGGTCATTATAGCTGAATTTGGAGTATCTTTCGGTCTAAATTCAGCTATAATGACCGTACGTTGTAATCGGGGGAAGACTGTAGCAGTCCGTGGAAAGATAACCGGGGGTTCAAAAAAAAAAAAAAAGACGAAAGATAACTGGGGAAATTAATCATCGACTTTACTGTAATAATCCCTTCCAACTCAATCCAATATCACACAGGATGTTTATTCGTCGATTGTTCAGTGATTGTTCGGTGTTTGGCAATATTAGATTGGTGGCGATTCGATCCCATCAACTTAATCCAATCACACGGGTCGTTATTTCGCTAATTACTAGGTGTAGTAGGTTGATCCCATCATCTCAATCCACCTACTGATCTTGTCTATAACCTCTGAACTGATTGATTACCCATCCTGAGCAGTTTCCGATTTTTTTTATTTTTTTTTATTATTATTTAGACCAGGTCCCGATTCATGCGTGTCTGTCATCGTCACGCAGGGGCCATGCTAGTCTTCTCTCTCTGTATCGGGCCAATTTTAACGGATATGTTCAGAAAGACGAACTGGCGGTTTTTGGTTATCCCCAACTTATCCCTTATCGCGGAAAAGTATATCGAATTTCCGACGAACGACGTTTGGTGCATGTACCCATCCAGTCATTAATTAGTAATACTAATTACTAGTTAATTAGTAATTACCCATGAAAATTGGCCTTTTCCCATGCCCTTGAAATTGCCCAACCGATGTATAATGGGGTGCTTCTTCAAGCCCTCCTCTTCCTGACAGGTTGGACAACAATGGTCGAAGAAGGTCGTTAATCCCTCTCTCTCCCTCTCTCCCCTTCCTCTCCCTTCCTCTTCCTCTTTCTCCCTCCCTGTGCCTGCCTCTCCCTGCCTCTCCGGCCGTCGCTCTTCCTCTTCTTCGTCGATGGGAGAAGGGAGCACTCCTCGCCCTCCTTTCATCTTTTGGCAGATCTTTATAGCCAACCTCTCTCCCTCTCTCTCTCTCTCTCTCTCTCTCTCCCGGCCCCGCCCACGTGCCGCCTTCTTTTTCATTCTCTGTATCTGACCCCATTGAGGATGCCCCAATGAGGATGTCACGTGGACAGGTGGGGAAGATATGTTTCCAACGCTCTCGATGCTGACGTGGACGGACCTTATCTGCATGTCTCTGCTTGGACTAGTGATGCGATCTGGTCGCTGTTGGATGAATGCCACGTGGCTCTCGATCCGATTAGGAGGGTGTTGCTTATCGTCTTCTTCTAATGGTCACAAGAAAGCGATACTGGGCCTTGCTCCACTGCAGAAGATTCCAAATGTATGTGGAGCTGGTAATGGACCCGATACATTCAAAATGTTGGATCAGTCGGAATGTATCTGGTCGAATTGCAGTCTAGATTCATGTGGAATGTAGAGTAGTGGAGCAACGCCCATTGTAGTCGTCTTTTTTGTCTGGACTTGCCGTGGCAAGCCCTCTACCATCTTGCCCCGAATAGAACGCACGGTCATTACAGCTCGATATGGTACCGTCTTCCCTCGAGTAGAACGCATGGGTTTGCTCATCCACGCCGTTGATACAGGCGCAAGGTGGGCATCGTGTGTTGGATGGGATGGGCCAACAACAGAATTTCCACGTGGCATTCAGCCAGCAGACATTGCCCCACGTGGCATCCGTCCAACAGACATTGGCCACGTAGCATTCATCCAACAGAATGTCCACGTGGAGTCCATTCAATAGACATTGTCCACGTGGCATTTATTCAACAGAGAAATATCCACGTGGCCAATCAATCCAACCATAATGTCCACGGGGCTTTTCATCCAACCACAATGTCCACGTGGCATTCACCCAACTTATAATGTCCACGTGGACATTCATTCAACAAATAATCTCCACGTGGACATTCATTCATTCAACAGATAATGTCCACGTGGCTAATTCATCCTACAAAATGTCCACGTGGCATTCATCCATTCATTCATTCAGGCACGTTAGATGGATGGATGGACGGATGGATGGATGGACGGATGGATGGATGGACGGATTTGTTGTGCAGGGCTTAGGGCGTCCGGCTGCCCCTCTCTCGGCAAATGTGAAATGAAAAATGGGGAGTGTATTGTTGCACTTTTAACGGGAAGATTCACTCGTCGTTTATCTGCACTTTTTTTTAACGGGAAGATGCACTCGTCGTTTATCCGATTTGGTGAGTGGTACAGCGAGGAGGCCGTTGGCCTTCATTGCCGACGTTTCTAGGCCCGATGGAAGCAATGAAGGCGAACGGCGGAAGAAGGTAGGACGTTGTATTCGGCTTTGGTGATGACGTTGACCACCTTCCGTCGGATGAGATGACATTATACGTCCTACCTTCTTCCCCCGAATACAACGTACGGTGGTCATTATAGCTTCTGTGTTTAGACTGAAAGGTTCCTCGAATATACTGCTATAATGACCGTACGTTGTATTCGGGGGAAGAAGATAGCGGTATTGGAAGGGGCAGAGAGGCGATATGACCCTTTTTTTTTTTTCTTTTTTTTTTTTGCAATATTACAGCCCTTGCACTCGCTAGCAGTGCTGGTAAGAGAGCAGCTGCCACTGCTGTCGTCCCCAAGCATGATGACAGTCATGCTTGGGGACCCCGGATGTAGTGACATGGGTGGCATGGCGTGTGCACTGAATGGGATCTGTTCGTGGATGGATCGGTTGGCCAAAGTGCTGAACTGCTGAACACTGCGACGAGCACTGGTGGCGAAGGGAGAAAAAAATGGGAGAAGTGAAAATGATTAGGATCAATCAGATACTAGATTGGGAAATACCAATGGGCCTACCAACATCAGTTGGTACACCCATGAACTGTTCTGAAAGATGGACCCAAGTTCGAATCCAGATGCTATTAGATGAACAGAATGAAATAATTCTGTATTACCTGAGGACGGGCAGTTGAATGAATGATGATATACATCTCAATGCCGTTGCTCGTTTATTTAAAAGAGGTAAGATGGATAGATCGATCGGTAGATAGACGTATGGATGGGTGGACTGTGGATGGTCAAGGATCTTCGCCTCTGTGTGTCTTTGGTCTGTCCGTGCATGTGTGTGTGTGTGTGTGTGTGTGTGTGTGTGTGTGTGTGTGTGTGTGAGAGAGAGAGAGAGAGAGAGAGAGAGCTGCTCTCTGCACGTGTGAGAGATCAAGAGAGAGTGAGAGAGGGTGAGAGTGAGTGCTGCTCTGTGTGTGTGTGTGTGTGTGTGTGTGTGTGTGTGTGTGTGTGTGTGAGAGAGAGAGAGAGAGAGAGGAGGGGGGAGGGAGAGCTGGTGCTGAATAAATGTTATGAGAACCAAACCAGAAATCTCTGTCACCACAATGTCTTGAATGATCGAATCTCCTCTGGGAGAGAGATTTAGGTAGGTATACGTTATTAGAACACAATGTATGGGATAGCCCCTACCCAGCCCACTCATGCATGGGAAAGAGATTTAGCAATAGATTGATAAGATAACACGAAAGACATTGAAGAGTGCCATTCATTCATGCATGGTCTGTGTAGTGAAGAGGCACATGATGCATCATTTCTGGTGTCTCAAAACGACTCTCAATCAATCAAGTGCAAAAGGGCCTCGATCCATCATCACTGTTCGCCAACTGTCAGAATGGCAAATGTATCTTGCCAGGCGTTTCTGCCCATGGTTCGCAATTGATGATTACTCTTGGTTGAAGTAATGGCCATAGGCTAGCTAGCTAGCTAGAGAATGATTACTCGCTAGTACAACTTCCACATTTTTTCCGTTTTTTCGAACACCCCACTCCGCCCCCTATCTGATAGTAATTCCCTACCAGGCTACTGTCGTCTTCGCCCGAATAGAACGTACGTCGTACAGTCATTATAGCCGTACTTGGCTCACCTTTCCAGTCCAGATGGAGCGATCATATGCTCTGTTCGGGGGAAGAAGATAGCCCTGATCTAACTACTCCAATGCATCGACCATAACTTCGAGAAATTGAGAGTTTTAGACCTTAAAATAACTTTGCAATTCTTTCCACTGTTTCCAGCTCAAGGAGGGGGAACTCTGCAATCTGAATTGTGGATTCGATGGGGTCTTGATTGAATCTTTGCTGCCATGATCTGTCAATCCTTTTTTTTTTGGCGGGGGGGCGGGGCGGATTTGGTGGTGCCTT